GACGTCTTTTTTTGCATGTAGACACTACTGAAATACATTTTTCTTGCATATGGACACAATTGAAAGATGTGTTTCTTGCATGTTGATACAACTAGAAAGCATGTTTTTCTGAAAATGTCGGAGCCGAAACACAACTTGCAACAAAGCTTTCGGTTGTTCAAAAAAAAAAGTGTGTTATGGTTAATGCATGATATTATCACTCATAATGATTAGTAGCATATCTAACAGCTTGATAAAATGTGAGTTGGTTGAACATATGCTGCCTGATACTCATTTTTTACGTTTCCAACTATTAGCGTTTCGTGAATTCCTTCTTGAAGCAGTTTAACGTGTTAAAAATACTGAATTAAATACCAATGATGTGGGTCACTCTGTCTGAATGTGATCGTGTTAGTAGTTATTTTTGAACTGTTTCGCTGGTAAAAGGGCTGTTTATCTGAGGTCCTTCATAACGGTACTTATGTTCGACGAGTAAACACACAACATTGTAATCAAGTATTCTTATATGAAGTACTTTTACATGCTCTACTTTGGTTGAAAACTTTCGTATGGAAATAAGTAGATACCGAACTTCACTTGAAATTCTCAAGCGCGTGCATGTTAAGGAGCCATAAATTGTTCTTGTACTATAGCAGTCACATTAATTTGGGCACACTCCCGAACAGTAGAGCTATAAAAAGTGAATTGGATTGTTAACTTTGTCTAGAATTTACTGTTGTCAACTGCAACTTACATCTCGTCTTACCACCTGTTCTTAAAAAAAACCTATGGCTAAAAGGCTAGAATATATATATATATATATATACTCTCCTTTAATAGTTGCTGGCCGGGCGTGGCCTAACAGTTAGCATGGCAGACTTTTAATCTATAGATCCACGGTTCGCACCCGGTTCCTAGAAAAAAAAAACACACTCCGCTATTTGTGTTTGTGGGTGCATAATAAGAATGACGATCAGATCCAACTATTCGATTAGATCAGCCCAAGAGTTGGCCGTGGGTGATGTTGACTAGCTGCTTTCCTTGTACTTTATCAGCTCAAAATTAGAGACGATTAACGCAGACGAACCTTGTGTAACATGTGCGAGAATATCCCTAACAAACAATCTTGGTATACGAGAACTCTCATTTATTACCCGGATTTATAGTAGTGTGGCGTTATTGTCTTACATGTTTGGAAACGTATTTTCAACGAAACTTTAACAACTGGAAACACGTCATCTGATCGTGTAATGATGAACCAACGGTAACAAGCTGTTTAGTTAATAACTACTTTATTTATTCTGTTGGAATCACCAGTGCGATTTGGTAGGACATATGTGGAATAAATAAAGATAGAATCAGCGATGCACTAGTGTGTTAGTGATGTCTCACACAAACGAGGATTACGTATCTTGCAGTTCCCTGCCCTTAACAGAAACCTTGTTGCGACTTGTTTCTTGTAACTGGAACCTCATTTAACAATAAGGGAAAAGAAGAAAGTTGTGCACTTTTCTACATGCATTAGTATCTCTAGTTATTCACCAGATATTATAGACTCTTCGGATACTTCAGAGTAATTCTAGAGTCGTCTTCCTAAAAACAATACCCAGTTCGTACCCATTCGTCTTGAACGTTTGTAAAAATATATTATAAGCACCAGCTGATTTTGTCACTAACCGTTTTGATTTACTACTGCCTCAATGAGGATTTATGTCGATCGTGTTACACTCTGTAGCATTTGGCTCGCATCTCTGGTATTCTGTCAGAACGCAGAATTATAAAGAACTTTTATTTTCCTGTAAAATATGTCAACCTCTCTCTGGATATGTGTCACTAGTAGAACTAATAATGATACGCATTTCTGTTCATTTTCAAGTGTTTCGAGGACAACTTTTTTAGCTGTGAATTGTGTCGCACAAAATGTTAAAAAACATAAAATTACAGACTTTTAAAGAAATTTCTGTACGTTCTTGTTATGATGACAGTTTTCGAAAGCCTTCCTTCAGAGCATATGGACTCATTATGAACTAAACGAAGATGACTTTACGTAAGAAAACCTATTAGCAGACTTTGAAAGCAAGAGATAAAATTAACATATTCCAGAAGTGTTTAGACTTTGATTATATTTGAAGCTACAAAGTGTGGTGCGGTTCGTTTGTAATACCTTATTCTGCAAAGTATGATTAGAAAATATTCAAGACTTATATAATTTTCTTTCACTCTATAATGTGACGATGGTTGATTTTACTAGATTGAAAATTATAGAGGATTGAAAAGATTTTGAAAATTCAGATCAGCAAGTCAAGTGACAACCGCAGAACGGAATGTATCACAACTACATTTTAAGAATATTTGGGGTTATGTAGGTAGTGTGATGTTATCGAAAATTGTGGGAAGAGTATGATACAGCCCATTCCGACTCAAAATAATCATACACTCAGATCATAAAGATGTGTTAAGATCGGGGTTTTAAACTTTCCAAGACGGATACACTCCTTATAATTAATAGTACTGGAAAACAAAGGAATATGGATGAACTCAGGGCACCACGAACATTCAGAAAGTGACTTGCAACAAGTCGTACTTCAGCTGTGGTAAGCTAAATGCGGCGTTTTGTAACAAATGAGAATCCATGAACACAAATATCAGCAGCAATAGTTGCCCACGTGCCTCAGGTAACAGTGTGTAATATAATCAAGAAGAATCTCCATCAAATGTCGCACATCTCAAGTAGATGGTGAATGAAACTAGTATTACGAGTATTCATGCTATTCCAAGTAAAGACAAACCGGCCAAGTCGTCTATGAATTTCTGTACGATCGAAGTGTTATTACTAG